TGATTTTGTCAAGTCTTTGAATCGGCGGTCAAGATGCACCAAAAATGTTTAGATAATGGGGAAAATATTGAATATTCAATGATAGTAGTTATATGAAGAGATCAAGTTACGGTACCAATCCTTATGTTGTTGTAGTACATGATTTGATGTAATATAGGAATAAATGGAAGAATGCCAAGATGCTGTGAGCAGGAAAGAGATTTATAAAACACATTTGTGATGTTGCTCCACATACCCTTGACTCCCGTTACCATAACGACCAAAACATTTTCATTTTAAAACTAAAAGCCATGACCGTTGCAGGATATATTACTATAATGTCATTCTAAATTCTGGAGCAATTTCATCTCATAACATGTAAATCTCTTAAAATGAGAGCATTTGTATCTTTACTTTCCGGACACCCTTTACCTATCGTTTGTGCAAATGAAACTCTACATAAATGTTTAATAGAGTCGCAGTGCGGCATTGAAAATAGCACCCCTGTTGGGAAAGAACCCGGATGAAGACGAAGTTGTACCATATATGAGAGCTCTTCAATCGGGAGGTAGCTAAACTGAACTAAATTAAACGTTATCGTGTATTGGTATGACGCTGAGATCCTGTGAGACAGTTTTCCATCTGATTTGGATTGAAATTACCCTGTGCATTTGTTCGACTTCACTTCTTAACTTCTTCTTAACCCTTTCCCGACGTGAATATAAGAAGAAAATGTTGACTTGATGACGGATAAGTAATCTAGCGTTTTTTAGGTAAAAACTGGAAACGATGTATACCCAAAACCCATTCTTCGTAAATGTTATCACTATTACAATTTTTAATAAGCATTGTCACATGTCAACACCTTGTCAAAATTTGGTGTAAAAATACAGAATAGAAATGGCATTGATGTACAGCATGTTAATAAAAAATAGTGGTGCCAAAAGGGGTCTATTGTTCTGAAAAGTATTATGTAATAGCAGACTTGCCAACCTAAAATGAAATTTTTTCGGGAGATTTAAAAAAAATTGCGGTACATTTACGGGAGTTTTATCAAAATCCGGTAGTTTTTGCGGGAGTATTTTTGAAAAAAACGGGAGTTTTTACAGGAGATTTTTGAAAAAAACTGTAGTTTTTACGGGAGATTTAAAAAAAAACAGGAGTTTTTGCGGTAAATTTTGAAAAAAAAACGGGAGTTTTTACGGGAGATTTTACGGGAGATTTTTTTAAAAAGGTATTTTTCGCGGTAAATTTAAAAAAACGTGACATTTTTACGGAAGATTGCAGAAAAAACGGGAGTTTTTGCTGTAGGTTCTGAAAAAACTGGAGTTTTTACGGTACGTTTTGAAAAACAGGAGTTTTTGCGGTAGATTTTTTAAAAAGAGTTTTTATGGTAGATTTCTGAAAAAACGGGAGGTTTTACGGTAGATTTCTGAAGTAACGGGAGTTTTTACGGTAGATTTTGAAAGAACGGGAGTTTTTACGGTAGCTTTCGGAAAAAACGTGAGTTCTTACGGTAGGTTTCTGAACAACGAGTGTCTTTACGGTAGGTTTTGAAAAAAACGTGAGTTTTTACGGTAGATTTCTGATAAAACAGGAGTTTTTACGGTAGATTTCTGTAAGAATGGGAGTTTTTACGATAGATTTTGAAAAAACGGGAGTTTTTATTACTTTGGAAACGAATTGATCAAAGCTAAGTAAAATGTATATGTGGCGTTCACTATATGCTAAGGGCAATCTGCGTGAGGTTCCATTTTTAGATTCAGTTTTTCGTGCATGAGCATTAAATCCAGCGATTTAATTGGTTGAAATTATTATCCCATCGAACGAAGTTCGGAGGGATATAGGGAACGCCTCCGTCCGTCCGTCCGTACGTCCGTCCGTCCGTCCGTCCGTCCGTACGTACGTCCGTCCGTCCGTACGTCCGTCCGTCCGTCCGTACGTCCGTCCGTCCGTCCGTCCGGGCAATAACTCAAATACCGTTGGCCCGATTTTGTTCATATTTTATACACATATACCCTATGGGGGTAGAAGTTCTGCTCGAAAGCTGATTTTCAAAATGGCCGCTCATTTCAAAATGGCGGCCATTTTAGTGCCAAATTTACAGTAATTTAGGTGCAATATGTAAAACTGTAATAGCAATATGTTTTAGATGTAAAAAAATTATATAGGACATTAATAAAGCTAGAAATGTAGATATTAAAGAAGCACATGGCAGCCATCTTGAAAAATGGCGGCCTTTACTCATTATTTTACGAATTTTGCTCTAACTCGAAAAGTAGTGGAGCGATTTTGTTCATATTTGGTATGTGAATACTATAAACATTGCACACTGTCTAAAGACACTTTTGGAAGAAGGTGGCCATTTTGAAAAATGGCCGCCATTTTGAAAAATGGTCACCATTTTAACGTATTTTACTATAACTCGAAAAGTAGTGAAGCGATTTTGTTCATATTTGGTATGTGAATACTATAAGCATGGCACACTGTCTAATGACACTTTTGGTAGAAGGCGGCCATTTTCAAAATGGCCGCCATTTTAACGTATTTTACTATAACTCGAAAAGTAGTGGAGCAATTTTGTTCATATTTGGTATGCGAATATTATAAGCTTGACACACTGTCATATGACACTTTTGAAAGAAGGCGGCCATTTTGAAATTTTTTTTGAAAAATGGCCGCCATTTTAACATATTTTACTATAACTCAAAAAGTAGTGAAGCGATTTTGTTCATATTTGGTATGTGAATACTGTAAGCATGGCACACCTTCTATTGACAGTTTTGGTAGAAGGCGATTATTTTTGCAAAATGGCCCCCATTTTAACATATTTTACTATAACTTGAAAAGTAGTGGAGCGATTTTGTTTATTTTTGGTATGTAAATACTATAAGCACAGCACACTGTCTTATGGCACTTTTGGTAGAAGGTGGCCATTTTGAAAAATGGCCGCCATTTTAACGTTTTTTGCTATAACTTGAAAAGTAGTGGAGCGATTTTGTTATAAGCATGGCACATGGTTTAATGACACTTTTGGTAGAAGGCGGCCATTTTGAAAAATATACTTTGTTTGTAAAAATGCCATCCATAGCTGTTCGATGGGATTCGCTACGCTTTGGCGTTGCCGTTGTTCTGGTTATGACGCATGCCCAGTTAATAAATTAATTAGAACTTATAATCTAAGATAGATGTCACTTACGTTCATTAAATTACAGCAGTCCCTACCCATAATGCGCCTTATATTGCGGGAATATTTTGTTTAGCGCCATAGAAAAACAAAATGTATTCTCCCGACAGATGACAGAATATGAACTTGCCCCCGTTTGTGGACATTTGGTGTGCAAACTTATACCGGACTGATCGCAGAAAAGCAATTTGAATCATGGAAATGAAGTACTTTTAAGTTTTTTATGAAAGTTTCGATAGTGAACCATGGGAGCCAATCCTTCTTGGAGTAAAAGAAAGAAGCGTGCCTGCAATAATCAAGGTCACAAATTTGTCAAATTCCTTTTAAATACGGTAGATTTCGACAGCAAAAAACTGAGATTTTACGGGAGTTATACCAAGAATACCGGAGATTTTACGGGAGTTATACCAGAAAACGGGAGATTTAACGGGAGTTATACCAAGAATACGGGAGATTTTACGGGAGTTATACCAGAATACGGGAGATTTAAGGGAGATTTCAGCAAAATGCGGGAGATTTTACGGCCATATTTTTAAAAAAATTACGGGAGATTTTAGTAGAAATACGGTACGGGAGTTTTTACGGGAGAAAACGGTACGGGAGTTTGGTATTTTTTATGGAAAAACAAAAAATTTACGGGATATTCCCGTAAAAAAATGGGAGGTTGGCAAGTCTGAATAGGGCTCCAGAAATAACGGATGCCTTTTTATATATGTTAATTTCATCTGACGTCATTGCATAGTTAATAAGTACGCATTTAGCATGTGTTCCTTCTAGCTCGCTGATTGGTTGACATATAATCAGCGTGGTCCAGGTTTGAAATGATTTATGACCCGGGCTGTCACAGGTATCGGTCATGGGGTAGACTATATCCTCTAGTCTGATATTTTTTTTAATTTGGTTGAAAATATTGAGACTAAAAGACTTAAGTGTCCTATGTAAATGTTCACAAACACATTTGTTCACATGTAAATTGTAATTCAAAATGGCTGATGGAGTAAATTAATTTGCATATTTGTAAGTTCCACTAGCTTTATCTCAACTAGGCAATCTGCTGTGTTACTTTTAAAGGCATTTAATTGTACCTTGCTACTTAAACCTGCACATCGCTCCAAAACGCAATCTTTGGTTGTTTCGGGGGTGAACTTTATCATTTTGAGCTTAATGAAAGATTATAGAATGATGAACAAATGGGGCAAATCTTGTGTAGAAATACTTTCGATAAATGTGTCATTTCAAAGATTATTCATTGAATTGCTTCGATCGGCGCCGACGATATGATTTTGGAAAGGTTTCTAAATGAAGAACGTGACGTCACTTCCGAATCATAGCATTCAAAATAAGTAGCGTTTAATTACTTCCACATTTATAATAACCAATACGGTGGTCTAGCGGTACAATTCTCGCCTAGCACGCGGGAGGCCCGGGTTCGAATCCCGCATTCGCCTTTTTATTTTTTTTAACAAAATGATTGTTCTTTGATATAACGCAGAAAAAAACAATTTTTATTTACATAAACTTTATATTAGAGCTTAAAAATGTAAAAACAATGTCAACATATTGCGTTTTGGAGCGATGTGCAGGTTTAATTGAATTTGTATAATGTCTATTTTATTGAAGTAATGCTTCCTCTAATTGATAATTTTGTGCAAAAAATTTCACTGCAATTACCACACGACAGAACATTATGATAACAGACTGAGTACTACATGTAACTCAGTCTGTTGGATACATACTAGGTCACAGGGGCAGAGCTACTAAATTGTAATATAGTATTGTGAAACTTTTAAACAAGCGTTAAGATGTAATTTACTGAATGTTTTTTCACTTTCAGGTTGTGGCACAATCAAAAATGGCGCCATCTTCTGTCATCCTTGATGATACTCTGACTAATGAGGTTTCCCAGGCCATTTTCACAATATGTAAGAGACGGCTTGAGAATGTCAGCGATACAATGGAAATAGATGGCATTATCTACATCTCCCAGAGCACCAAGGAGAATTATGTCATTCAACTTCATAGTAAAGTGCAGCAAACAACGTCACCAAAAACGCCAGAGAAGAAACCTAAAAACAAAAATCCGAACGAGATTACTGGGTCTGAACTTGAACATGAAATAGACATTAATGACCCAAAGGAAGATATTTCAGTCGGAAAGAAAAGGAAACCAAAGCGATCACTCGTGAAGATACATCAAAAACATGATGACAATTTTGAACCACCACAAGTGATAAAGCGCCATCTTGAGGAAGAATCTGGAATCAGGCGTTCAAGTAGAAAGAGATTTAAACCAGGAAAATTCAAAAATGTCACTGGTAAGTGATGTACATTAAGATATGAATTTGTGTATAACATTGTCTGATAGTAATAGGTAGTCTTTTGTCGGATTTGTCATTCACTTTATAATCAAACATTAGTTTAATCGATAAAATGTGTTGGCTTGTATTTCTAATGTTTCCCATTTGCTTTTTGTATCATGAAAATAAAATATTTGTGTTAAACCCTTAATTATAACATAAACAAGTATTATCACATTATTATTGAATAATATTTGTTATCACCTTTAGGGAATGTAGATGACCTTATACTGAGAGTTGAGACTGGAGAGGAGTGGGATGAAACCCATAATTCTCCACAAGAGATGAGAGAGGAAGGTGAGACCCACAATTCCCCACAAGAAGCAATGGAGGAAGGTGAGACCCATAATCAAAAGGTTGGGGCAGGAGAAGAAGGAAATGAGACCCACAATCCTCAGGCTGTGAAGGGAGATGATACCCACAATGAAGGTAGACAAGGTGGTATTGAATGGACTGAAAAAGGTACATCTAAAACTATGGTAACTATGTATGTAACATATATTTGTTTTTCAGGTCCTCACAATTCAATTTAATTTAATTCAATTTATTTCAATTTTTCAGATAATACATGGGCATAGCCAGGGGGGGGGGAGAGTGATGGGTGCAATTCCCACCCCACCTAAAAAAAAGCTAAAAACAATTGTGTAAAATATGTTGAAAAAATTAACAAATTTTAGTTTGAAATGTTTAAAATGCACATACAAATAAAGTGATAAAACTAATACATGTTGAATTTATAGATGTCACTTGTAGTAAGTAAATACTGCACTTGTCGGCCATCTATATTGGTCAGCAGGATATTGAGTTCACAGAAATAAACTTTGGATTTTTAATGAAGTCTGATGATATTTCTTAATATGATTATTACTAAATAATTCATTCAACTCACTGGCATTGGAATATATAAGTAATAATAAATAACATAATCTTCCATTTTTAACTGAACAAAATGGGATTTTAACCCTTTCACGACGATAGGCTCCATATGGAGCCCTATTATGTAATACCTTTCAGGACGAAGGCTCCTTTTGGCACCATTATTTTTATTCATATACATCAATGAAATGACAATATCTCCAGTTCTATTCAGTATTTTTACATCAATTCTTGACAAGTTGTTCAAATTTGATAATCCTTACTACAAAATTTTATTTTAGTGATAAAATTCAAGGTATAGGTCCTGGGGCATAGGTTATTTGCAGTTTTCCCCTAAAAACCGTTCTTACTTATCCGTCACCAGGGCCAACATTTTTCTTTTATATTCACGTCGGGAAAGGGTTAATACTGTCAACATACTCATTAACATTTTAGAGAGGCTTAAGAAAATAAGAACAAAAACAGTATGAGAAGTCCAGAGATCTGTGTTTGTTCATTTTTGATTGAAAAGATGGCGTACTTGGTTGTTGGGTTGTCACATAGAACAAAAAATGAATGACTATGTGATATGAACATCGTTGCCATCTTTCATTTAATATTGCAAAAAACTTGACTTAAAATTTTTACAGATCAAACATTTGAAAAAGTGCTATATTGTCGTCGTCTTGTGCTGTTGGGCGGGCGTTTGGGCGTGCGGGTGTGCGGGCGTGCGGGCGGGCGGGACATAAACTAAATCTTGTCATCAAATTTCCAGGATAACTGCTTACCTGTTCAACTTGAAATTTTAACAGATGCAAGAGCAGACTAGTACCAAGATCTGATTAGGTTAAGGGCATGCTGGGTAAACTATGTGGCGGCCATTTTGAATTTTTCAACAAATCTTGTCATCAAAATTCCAGGAAAACCACTTATCCGTTCAACTTGAAATTTTTACAGATGCAAGAGCAGACTATTGCCAAGATCTGATTAGGTTTTGGGTATGCTGGCTGAATTACATGGTGGCCATTTTGAATTTTTTAATTTGGCGGCCATTTTGAATTTTTCAACTTGCTCCAAATTGACCAAATTTTTTTTTTAAAAACATCTACAAGTTCTCAGAAGTTCAAATCTGACCTTAGATTTCAGATTTGACCTTTCGTTGACCTTCAGTGGCCTTGAAAAGGTAAAAAATTTGATTTTCTAAATTGATATTTTGGATTTAAATTTAGGTCAGCTAATTACAAAAGACCTACTGAGGTCTGAAAAAGTGAAATTTTCAAGGTCGAAGGTCATCAAATTAGGTCACAAACAATGTTATCTAAATTTTCCCAAAGTTCAAGACTACAAATAAATTCTTGTCATCAAAATTGCAGGAAAACCGCTAACCTTGTCAACTTGAAATGTTTACAGATGGAAGAGCAGACTAGTGCCACGGTCTGATTAGGTTTTGGCCATGCTGGGTAAATTGCATGGTGGCCAGTTTGCTCTTCAAAGTGCGATATTTATCACTGTGTGTCTTGTTGATAATTTATTGTAAGATCAAATTTGTACTAAAATCAATCCATTGGAAATATAAGGGGGTGAAAAGTAAGTCTTCATTTTGCGAAAGATACTGAAAAGATATGTTCATGTATTGAATCACTTAAACATAGCCAACACATATATTTCTATAAATGTTAAGTTCTTTTTATTAAGTCTATTATCTTCTTATACCACTACAATAAATCATTGAATATTTTATTTTTCTTCAGAAGAAATAGAGAGTGGGAAAGAAGAGAACCACAAGAAAGAACATGATCAGCTTAATGAACAAAGTGTTAAAGATAGTGTTGGAAATGAAGAGCAGATTAACGCTGTGGAGGAACCAGCTCAGGAAGACACTGGTAACCAAGAGGAAGATAATACAGATACTGTTAAAGATGGTGAGGCAAATGAGCATGACTATGTAAAAGATAAAGGTGATGACCAATCCGAATCAGTTGATGTAAAAAATGCATTTAAAGATCCAGATGCTTTGAAAGCTGCCATTGAAATATTTAACATGACATCTAAACCAGAGAAAAAATCATGTAAACTTCCCAATGGTAAATTCATGTGTGATCACCCGACATGTGGAAAAACATACATAGACTTTGGGAGCATGTGTGTCCACAGAACCATCCATACTGATCATCGCTATGAATGTGAGCTTTGCCTAAAAAAGTACACCCGTAAGGATAGCCTAATGAAACATGTTTGTGCGAAAGTAAAAGTGAAAAATATGGAACAGAAGCATGTATGCGCAGTATGTGAGGAGAACTTCTTAAACTTGAAATATTTGGAGATTCATATGAAGACCGAGCACCCGACAAAACTTCTGTTCAGGTGTAAGATTTGCCCGAATTCAGTTTTCCGTACCCAGTACAAGCTGAGTCAACATGATTTGATTGTACACGGGGAAAAGAGTTTTATATGCCCAGAGTGTGGGGCTTCATTCACCAACAAAGTGAAGCTGAGATATCACGAAAACTCTCATAAGCAGAAGAAACTCAAATCTCAAAATGAGACAGATCTAGAAGTTCTGAAAAAAGCATTTCACATTTGCAACGTCTGCTCTAAGAAATATGAATCATATGGTGGACTTCAAAAACATATGAGAATACATACTGGGAAATTATTCATGTGTGAGCTTTGCCCGAAGAGTTACATTTCCCAAGATTCCTTGAGCCAGCATATATATAACTCTCATGAGAAGCCCCAAACTAAGCCGCAGCCTTTAAACAAGGCCAATGGTCCACCCTTCATCTGCCCAGAGCCTGACTGTGCGATGTCATTCCAACTGATGTATAAATTTAGGCGACACTATCGGTGGCACAGTGGTGATCTCTGGACCTGTACATATTGTGGTGAGTCATAACTTCGCTTGTTCCCTAATTCTTCAATTCAATTTTTAGTTCTAAACTCCCAAATAGAAACTTAGAAGTCTTGGAATTTGAAATTTTATGTAACGTTACAAGATGTTAGTTTGAGAAATGAATAAAGAAGGCAAATCATTTGAGAAATATGATGATGCTTATGTTTCTTGCCTAATAACCTTTTGCCTGTGAAACACATATTTTCACAAATACACAAAAAGCACTTTTACAGATGCCTCAACTTAGATCTTTTGTCTGTTCATCAGTACACATTTGTGATTCCAATATGATACGTGACGTAACAATAACTTAAACTAGAACAATTGATTTACTGGTCTATATTGGAGTATGTATGACCGCTAAAATTCATAAATGCAAAAAGTTGTGTTACTTGTCTATATGTCTGTTTATCATATTAGAATCATAACAAAGACCGAGATTTTATGATTTATGTCCAATATATGACCTCAAATTTTATGCTGGCCATTGCCGAAGAACAGAATAAAATTTTCAGTCATATATTACACCATAAATCATAAAACTTTGGTCTTTATTCCTTAATTCTAATCTTGGTCTTTATTCCTTAATTCTAATCTCGGTCTTTATTCCTTAATTCTAATCTCGGTCTTTATTCCTTAATTCTCATCTCTGTCTTTATTCCTTAATTCTAATCTCGGTCTTTATTCCTTAATTCTAATCTCGGTCTTTATTCCTTAATTCTAATCTCGGTCTTTATTCCAATTAATTCTAATCTCGGTCTTTATTCCTTAATTCTAATCTCGGTTTTTATTCCTTATTTCTAATCTCGGTCTTTATTCCTTAATTCTAATCTCGGTCTTTATTCCTTAATTCTAATCTCGGTCTTTATTCCTTAATTTTAATCTCGGTCTTTATTCCTTAATTCTAATCTTTGTCTTTATTCCTTAATTCTAATCTCGGTCTTTATTCCTTTATTCTAATCTCGGTCTTTATTCCTTAATTCTAATCTCGGTCTTTATTCCTTAATTCTAATCTCGGTCTTTATTCCTTAATTCTAATCTCGGTCTTTATTCCTTAATTCTAATCTCGGTTTTTATTCCTTAATTCTAATCTCGGTCTTTATTCTTAAATTCTAATCTCGGTTTTTGTAGATAAAGCATTTGATGAGAAACACCGCATGGATCAGCATATGGAGGCTGTTCACAGTAATGTGCTCAAGTATAAATGCAGCGATTGTGCACGTGGGTTCACTACAAAGTAAGTATTGAGTTTACTTATTGTTCATTACAAAGTACTTCAAGTTTAATTTCTTCACTCCAAAGTAAGTACTGAGTTTCATCAATCCATTCAGCGCATGGATCAGCATATGGAGGCTGTTCACAGTAATGTGCTCAAGTATAAATGCAGCGATTGTGCACGTGGGTTCACTACAAAGTAAGTATTGAGTTTAATTATTGTTCATTACAAAGTACTTCAAGTTTAATTTCTTCACTCCAAAGTAAGTACTGAGTTTCATCAATCCATTCAGTACAAAGTAAGAGTTTAATCATTCATTTAGTACAAAGTAAGAATTTAATCATTCATTTAGTACAAAGTAAGAGTTTAATCATTCATTCAGTACAAAGTAAGAATTTAATCATTCATTCAGTACAAAATAAGAATTTAATCATTCATTCAGTACAAAGTAAGTACTGAGTTTAATCATCCATTCAGTACAACTTAAGAGTTTAATCATTCATTCAGTACAAAGTAAGTACTGAGTTTAATCATCCATTCAGTACAACGTAAGAGTTTAATCATTCATTCAGTACAAAGTAAGTACTGTGTTTAATCATTCATTCGCTACAAAGTATACGTGTAATTCATGTCAAGTGGTATTTCTGGACCCCTCTAAGAATTTTGATACCAGTTTCTATAACGTTTGTTTATTTTTAATAAAAAACATTACAAATTGAAGAATTGTGTTATTGATATTATGAGACAAATATGATTGTATGATTGATACAAGATGTAATTGTGCAAAATGTGACCTTGACACCACGCTGAATGATGAGTAATTAACGTTTTTGTGGTTCCTTTTTTGGCTCACCCTGTATAATTAATGTTCCAGGAGTGCCAGAGCAAAACATTATAAGCAGACCCATGGGACAGGGGCTCTAAAACAGCAAGCCAACACGACCAATCATGATAGAATAATGCTTGAAGGAGCTTTGGATGGCATTAGCAAATCAGTGGAGCTACTAGATAAGGACCCTGGCACTAAAATGATCCTCATTGAGACAACTGATGGTGAATATATATCAATCCCCATGATTCAACCAGATGCTGATAATAATCAAATAGATCCTGCGGTTTATACCCATGGATCGGATATCATAGCGCAAAATGCTGAAATTGCAACTACAGCTGGGTCGGAGATATCTAATACAGATAGCCCAGGAATTCAGAGCCATGAATCTGAGAATATTACACATGGACTGCAAATTTTGACTCATGGATCCGAAATAGCCAGTCAAGTGTCGGGAATGATATCAGATGGGACTGAAGTCATAGCACATCCAGAGGAAATCACATGCATTGCACAAGACACTGAAATGATAACTGAGAATTCAGAAGTTGTCCCCGAAGGATCGCAAATAATTATCAATGTTGAGGACTCGGAGCAGGTTTACGATTCCCAGAATGCAATTAATTATAATAATGTGAATTCGCAGGTTGCAGAGGATGGGGAATTTAAAATGCAGACAATGTTAATTTTGAAAGAAAATGAAACAGAACATTGTGTACAAGTTGAAGTCGATCCCCAGAATTATTCTTGATTTGAATACTTGTACATTGTACATTGTTTGAAATATGCATAGACAGTAAATACAACCTGTGTTATCAGAATAGCTTGTGTACCTCAAAAAGTGTTCCACAAACAGAGGTGTTTCACTCCTGTGTTTGAAATGCTAGGGTTATTCCAAACAAAAACAATTTAAACATAACCTACAAACATCGCTATTTTGAAACATTCAATTTGAAAATTTCTATATAATGGACTACTACGAGAAATGTTACAATTTGAAATATTTCAAAAACATGCTCCATGATTTTTTAACCATAAGTATAATATTGAAATGTGTGTAGGTCATTATTGAAGATAGATTTAGAACAATTGATGTTTGATTTTTGTAGTGATGTATTGACTAAGTACTAGTACACATGCTCTTTGTTAAAGTAATATAATTTATGATTTAATTTATGACCTTTATATAATTATTACCATTGCCCATTTTAATTTACTTTATAATTTTCTGTTTATTTAGAAATTATCTCATGCAGCCTTGTTAAATTATTTTTATGTGCTGCAAATAAATGTATGGCTTATCCTAATCTACAGTATATGATGCTGTAAAAATACATATATATAAGGGTTACTGGGAAGTAATGTCCTTGATATCACTTGATTCTCTTGTAAGAACATACTCAACTAACCATCTATGATTACTGTAATTAATCCTCTATTGTAATTTAAACTACCTAGAATTCCTATGGCGATTGGTAGTAGATATTTTGTGTATTTTTTGTTTATGAAGGAAATAAATAATATGTTAAAAAAACAAAAAAAAACATACTCAATAAAGTGTTATCTTCCTAGACGTGGTTTCATTTTCCTTCTCTATGATGAAATATTGTCAACTTCACATTTTTTTGCACTTGTCTGGCATCTTGAAATGTGTAGGAAATATGAGTTCTTTTACTGACCATGATAAGGATGGGTTCAGCTGTATGCTCCCAGCCCATATAGGGTCAATTGCAAGAGATATTCTGTTGCAACCTTGGCCATGTTAAAAAAGTCTGGTGCAACCGTGGTACATTGTAATATATTTTCTGATACAACCGTGAGAATTACTTATTATTACTTATATAATCCCGGGTAATCTTTATCTATTTCTTGGGATCACATGGTATAAACCCAACTAGTGTTCAACTGAATATTGTCACATACAATACATACAAACAATATACTAAACATCCTACGGTTGTACTGGAAAATATGTTACAATGTACCACGGTTGCGCCAGACCTTTTAAACATGGCCACGGTTGCTACAGAATATCTCTTGCAATTGACCCTACCTCTCCCAGCCTCAACGGTTGCAGGATGGATACAGCAATATTCATTCTGCTCTCTAGATACACTCTCCTGCACCTGCACTATATGTACTAAGAACCTTAGTAGGTATTTAATACTAGTGCATTGTACTCTAAACCTTGAAAATGAGCATTCAAGATATTTTTCTGGTAAATTATTGGACAAATAGGTTAATGCTAATTTTTGTTGGATGATTGAATTGAAGAATGCCAAATGTTATGTACAGAGTGTTTCGTAATGACTGTCTCGATCAACTCCAAATCCCACATGTAGATGGTATATTCCCATATGTTGTATTATATTAAATGAAAGTCTATCCAATTCTGGACTTTTTATAAAAATTCTGAATAAGCTCAACAGATTTTATCACTTGTTACGTATCTCCACTTAAAGTACCAATTTGACCTTCAGCATACAATTTAAGCACCAAATAAAAGTTATGTACAAACATTTCTGGATGCTGAGATAACAATGGTATTTGAACAAAAAGTTTGTTTAAGCTTGTAGTTAGAAGTTAGTCCTTGGTAGAGCAAATGCAACTATATATATTTTAACATCTCTCAAACTAACAACTGGACCGAAAATTGACATTTCGTCTAGAGGGCAATGTAAATTAGAGCTTTACGGCAAATTAGATATTCAATATCTCTCAAATAGAATGACTAATCAACAAGTGCTTGGTAGACCAAATGTAAAAATATATCCTCAAAGTTCTCACTAATTAGCAAATAACATGCTGCTACCAGCGCTACGTACCACTGGTCCGAAAATTGACATTTCGTCTAGAGGGCAATGTAAATCAGAGCTTTACGGCAAATTAGATATTCAATATCTCTCAAATAGAATGACTAATCAACAAGTGCTTGGTAGAGCAAATGTAAAAATATATCCTCAAAGTTCTCACTAATTAGCAAATAACATGCTGCTACCAGCGCTACGTACGACTGGTCCGAAAATTGACATTTCGCCTAGAGCGCAAACTGTATCAGAGATGTAAGACAAATTATATATAAAATATTTCACGACCAGATACACCAGTGATTTAATCCCTTCTAGAAAAAACGTAGAAACATATACTGAAACGTCTTACAAATCAGCAAAGGACTAGCTAGTACCAGCGTGACGTAGGACTGATCAGAAAATTGACGTAACGATAAGAGCAAACTGTTAATCAGAGATTTGTGACAAATTATATGTAGATACTCAATATCTCACGAATAGAATGACCATACAACAAGTCTCTGGTAGAGCAAATGCAAAAACGTTGCTCAAATAAGCAAACATCATGCTCTTACCAAAGACCGGTCCGAAAATTGACATTTCGTCTAGAGCGCAAAGTAAATTAAAGCTTTGCGACAAATCCTACAAATTAGATACTCTATATCTCACGAATAAACTGACCAATAAACAATTCCTTGGTAGGGCAAATGTGAAAATGCATCCTTGAACATCTCACTAATCAGCAAATATTCTGCTTCTACCAGCTTTACGTACGACTGGTCCGAAAATTGACATTTCTTCTAGAGCGCAAACTGCATCAGAGATTGAAGACAAATTAGATATAAAATATATCACGGATGGGAACACCAGTCATTAAATCTTTTGAAGAGCAACATATACTGAAACGTCTCTCAAATCTGCAAAGGAAGAGATAGTACCAGCATAAAGAACGACTGGTCAGAAATCAAAGCTTTATGACAAATAAGATACTCAATATCTCACGAATAGAATGACCACTCAACCAGTCCTTGGTAGAGCAAATGCAAAAATATATAGTTTAACGTCTCTCCAACTAACAACCCACAAGCTGCTACCAGCGTTAAGTACGACATGTCAGAAAATTGACATTTCGTCTAGAGCGTAATGTAAATCAAAGCTTAATGACAAATAAGATACTCAATATCTCACGAATAGAATGACCACTCAACAAGTCCTTGGAAGAGCAAATGCAAAAATATATAGTAGCCCGGACAGAATTGTTCAATGGTCACTTTTTCTTTAATAACTTTTTTAATTTTCTGTATTATCAAAATCTGATCACATATTTGAAAACTAGAGTAAAATTCTGACATACAAAAAAAATATTTAATGAACATCTCTTAATTTATTGATATTTTAGGCATTCATAGTATGAGTGACGCAAATACATAATTCATTATTTTACCTCATATTTGTTCAAAATGGCGACATATTTTGGGAATTTGAATGTTCAGTTGAAAGTTGATATTTAAAGATTGTCATTGGACTAAAGGGCCATGCTGCCACAGTTACAATCCTGATGTCATGCAGCAACTGACCATTTATCAAAAACAAGAAGTTAACTCCCTCCAAGGGTATTATGATATCAACTCTATTGAAATGTTAGGAGTTGTGTTCAAGAGGATGTGAAAAGGTGGCGCCCCAATGTGCGAGTTGTGTAGAGAGTAGGTCCTCAATCTTTTCAAGAGCTCCAAACAGCCATCTCAGAGGCTATTTAAAAGCTGAAGAACAATTCACATGCATGCCAAGGATGGGTTTGAAGGCATGTGATTGGGAAAGACATTACAAACTGTGGCAGTATGACCCTATACGTAGTTGCACAGGTTAACAAACTAGTAGGTTGCTAATCCACTACGAGTAACAATGGAATGCCCAACATAAGACCTGTGACCTTACCAATATACTGTACATACAATGTACAAACCTTTTTCTTAAGTATTGGTATACATACAAGTCAATTTAAAACAAAAGGTTATAAATGCAGTCATTACCTCATACCAAGGCAGCAGCCTACATGATTTCGTAGGCCTATGATATTTCTTAAATATTAACTTTCAACTGAACATTCAAACCACAAAACATGCCGCCATTTTTGAAAAATATGAGTCAAAATGGTGAATTATGTATTTGCGTCACTCATACTATGAACGTCTATAATATCAATAAATTAAGAGATGTTCCTTAAAAAAAAATTTCTTTGTCCATTGAACAATTCTGTCCGGGCTACTATTTTAACGCCTCTCCAACTTATACCCCACATGCTGCCGCCAGCGTGACGTAAGACTGGTCCGACATTTCGTCTAGATCGCAAGCTGTATCAGCGATTTAAGCCAAATTACATATAAAATATTTCACGACCAGAAACACCAGTCATTAAATCCTTCGTAGAGAAAATGTAGAAACATAAACTGAAACGTCTCACAAATCAGCTGAGGACTAGCTAGTGCCAGCGTGACGTACGACTGGTCAGAAAATTGGCATTTCGTCTAGAGCGAAATGTAAATAGATCCTACAAATTAGATACTCTATATCTCATGAATAGATTGACCAATCAAGTCCTTGGTAGGGAAAATGTAAAATTGTATCCTCAATTATCTAACTAATTAGCAAATACCCTGCTGCCACCAGCGTTACGTACGACTGGTCCGAAAATTGACATTTCGTCTAGGCCAAACTTCATCAGAGATTTAAGACGAATTAGATATGAAATATATCACGAAGGGAAAACACTAGTCATTAAATATATTCAATAGCATACTTCAACATATACTTTTAAAAGCGTCTCACAAAATAACAAAGGACTGGCTAGTAGCAGTGTGACGTACGACTGGTCCGAAAATTGACAGTTCTTTTAGAGCGCAAACTGCATCAGCAATTTAAGACAAATTAGATATAAAATATTTCACGAACGGAAACACAAGTC